GACATGCAATAATCATTAAAGGATTGAGATGTGAACTCACCAGCATTATCAAGACGGATGGTCTTGATTGGATAATCAGGAAACTGTGCTCTCAATTTGATTATCTGAGCAAGGAGTTTAGCAAAAGCAGTTGTACGTGATGACAACAAACATACATGAGACCATCTTGATGAGGCATCTAGTAAGACCATGAAGTAACGAAATGGTCCAGAAGGTGGGTCAACAGGACCACAAATGTCTCCTTGAATACGTTGTAAGAATGTTGGACACTCATTGCCAACTTTCATTAGGGATGGCCTTGTAATTAATTTACCTTGTGAACATGCTATGCAGACATATTCATTAGGAAAAGGGATCTTATGGTTCTTGAAAGGATGCCCATTGGTGTGCTCTAGTACACGACGCATCATGGTCGATCCAGGGTGACCAAGTCGATCATGTCAAATCATAAATTGTTTAGGATCACTAAACTTCTGGTTCACGATAACATTTGATTCGATGGCACTAATGGTGGTATAATACAATCCAGATGAGAAAACTGGAAGTTTTTCTTTTACTTGCTTTTGGCAATGATTCGTGTATGTGATACAAAGGTATTCTGTACCTCTTTCATTCATAGTTTCAACATGAAACCCATTAAGTCGTATATCTTTGAAACTTAATAAGTTTCTTTTTGACTTAGAGGAGTATAATGCCTCTTTTACAACAATATTGGTTCCCCAAGATAAAATTATATTTGCTCTTCCATATCCCTCAATTAACTCCGTAGTACCAGAAATTGTACTGATATTTGCTTTTGCTAACTGCAGATCTGAAAAATACTTTTGATCTTTAAGAATTGTATGTGTTGTCCCACTATCAACCAAGCAAACATCTTCATCTCTTAAGTTGGTCATGGCCTTTTGTTTTTCCATCTTGATAAAATACATAAGAAAAATAAGAGGTCATGTTTTTTTATTAATAAAAAAACATTATTATTCATGATGACTCAAAACCTGAAATTGGAAATACATATTATTTTGTAACATAAAGTAAACTCGACTGGAAAAGGACACAACAAACAAGACTTGAAATTGGAAATACATATTATTTTGCAACATAAATTAAACTTGACTCGAAATCACTCCTCCTTAATTTTATCTTGGTCGACTGAAGCATCGCCACCATAAAATTCAACTCCATTAATATCACGACTTGGCTCAATCAGAAAATCATCCACATCAAAATGAGTTGCTTCCATCGGCTCAATTGTAGTATCAAAGTCGTTGTCAAAATCAACAAAATTTATCTCCTTTTCTTTTCCCTTTTCTCTGGTAGATGCTAGATAGAGATCAACAAGGTGCTTTGATGTACGACAAGTACGAGACCAATGACCTTTCACTCCACATCTGTAACAAATTTCATCCCTTTGTTTTGAAGCATCACCTTTAACGATCTTCCCCTTTTCTTGTTTTTGGTCATTATTTTCCCACTTCGAGTGGTTTGGTACAGATTTCTTGTTGAATCCTCCTCGACCTCGCCCATAACCACGACCGAAACCACGGCCACGACCGCGACCACGAGCACGCCCTCGTCCACGGAAATTAGCATTCGCTTCTGGGAATGAATTAATTGCATTCGCTGCAGGGAATGGTTGAGAGCCAGTAGGGCGAGAGTTATGATTTTTCATGAGAAGATCATTATTTTGTTCAGCAACAAGGAGACAAGAGATAAGTTATGAATACTTAGTAAATCCTTTTTCTCGGTACTGCTACTGCAAAAGCATGTTAGAGGCATGAAAAGTGGTAAATGTTTTCTCTAACATATCAGCATCAGTGACGGTGTCTCCACACAACCTTAATTGATATACAATCCTAAACATAGCAGAATTATACTCATTTACTGTTTTGAAATCTTGCAACCTTAGTTGCATCCAATCATAGCGAGCCTTTGGAAGTATCACACTTTTTAGATGGTTGTATCTCTCCTCCAAGTCACTCCAAAGAGTCGCAGGGTCTTTGACCCCAATATATTCGGACTTCAGGCCTTCATGAAGATGATGACGTATGAAAATCATTGCCTTTGCTTTTTCTTGTTCGCTAGCCCCACCATTTTCCTTAATAGCATTTCCAAGGTTCATTGGATTCAAATGAATCTCAACATCAAGAACCCATGTTAAATAGTTTTTCCGGAAATGTCAAGGGCAGCAAATTCAAGCTTGGTGAGGTTACCCATCACTGAAAATAAAATATAAATTATTATTATTTAGAACCATGTGGGCTCGTTGATCCTAACCTTTAGTCATATATTTCATGTTGATTTTTTTTTTAATTCATTACCAGAATCTACTAGTTGAAAAAAACAAATGTATATGTAAATTGCACCATACAAGACAATTTTATTTATCAAATAATTCTAATTGTATATTTTTTTAAAACGCACATATACACATATATCAAATTAGTAGATTAAAAATAAATAAATTAATGTGTATTGATTGAATAATAGGTTTTTTAATAAAAAATGGCTTAGGTACTTGAAGGGTCTCAATTATTATTATTTATTATGCATTATTATTATTATTATTATTATTATTATTATTATTATTATTATTATTATTATTATTATTATTATTATTATTATTATTATTATAGCGGAGGTTACAATTAGAGCAAAACTATGGACATAATGAGAAATTAGAGCACAATACATAATCACAAATAATAAATCTATAATATTAACATTATTATTATTATTATTTCTTTGTTGCAAAGTAAATAATAATGTCACCTATATATTCATGTGGCATACTCAAATCTTCAGGTTTGAGTTTCACTGTTAATGCTTTGAGCATATGAAATCAGAATATAAACTTCAAGTTCACTAGCCAAAAGAGAAAAAAACTAAAGAAATGAAATTTTTCCGACATAATATGTACTCAAACTTCAGGTTGAGTTTTATCATATAATCTTCAACTTTAACACATAATGTAGGCTTCACATGCCAATTCTCTAATATATTTAGGAGTTTTAGATTCAATATATCTACAAGTACACTTGAAAACTAAAGTAAATTAGTGTATATTTATATGTAGATATATAACATGAATATGAACAAGGACAAGATATGAAGAGTAAATTTTTAGAGTATCGTGCTGATAACGTGTTAAGAAAAAAGATAATAGAAATATTATCACGAACAAGATGATAGGGATATACCTTGATAAGAACACAAATGGAAGATCAAAGTGCAATGGAGAGTGAAAGAGAAAGAATGCAATGAGAGACTAAAGATATGGATGTTCCATTTCTACATATGGAGCCTCTATATATAGGCTTACAAAGGGGAAAAACAAAGGTCTAACTTAGAAATGGAGAACATCAAAAGACATTTGTACATAACATCATCATATTTGTGTCGAATTATGAGTTTCCAAACACAATAGTGGCCTTTCCTTGGCCCGAGCGATAGACGTGGGACTCTACATCCCCAAGTTCAAATTTAGTACTTCCTCTGTCCCACTATATTTGTTCACTTTCATTTTTGCACACCATCCAATACACTTCTTTAATCAATTTTATCTTGTAATTTGTATATTAAAAAATTATAGAAATTATATTTTAATAATCTATATGTTAAGACAAATCAAACAAGATCACGCATGACTATATTTAGGCTTACACATTGAGAGAATTTGATGAGTCAAAGTATTGGAGTAATTGAATTATTTAATGTATTATTATTTGTATTATTATTTAGCATTACTATAAGCCCACATTTGTTATTGGGCCTGGACCTATTGTACATGTATTTATACACACTTGGAGATGTAATTACGGGAAGAAAGTCATTCTTTCAAAATCCTTCATGGTATCAGAGCACAGGAAAATGAAACCCTAGGTGTCTCGTGTATGGTGCGATTGTCTCCGTAGCTTTGGTTTCGCCGAAAAAGTCAGTTTCCTAGTGTTCGGTGTAAGTCTGTCACCTGAGAAAATTGCTACTGTCTGGTGTTGTCTGTTTGGTGTAAGTCTGTAGCTTTCTCCTTGTGATTTGTGTTCGGTTGCTGCTGCTGTTCTTCTTTTGGGTCTGCGTTATTGTCTGCCATCAATATGACAACAAAGAAAGCCAATTTGATTCATGATCCATCTTCAATATACTACCTACATCCATCCAAGGGGCCTGGTAATTCTCTAACAAAGTATGTATTACGTAGTGATAACTATGACGTATGGGAGAAGGTTGTTTTGCATGCATTGGCTGGCCATGGAAAAGCAAAATTTTTGACAGCCGCAGGTGTCCCTAAACCCACCGATGAGGCCGAACTAGGCGCGTGGGAGTCCAACCATTCCATCATTTGTAGTTGGCTTTGCAATAGTGTCGATGAATCTATTCAACGCAGTGTTATCAACCATACGATTGCTTTTGATTTGTGGAACGATCTCAAGAAACGGTACGGTGGTTCCAACGGCCCTCGTATGTATCAGTTGAAGTGTGAACTACATAATTTGTGTCAAAAAGATCAGAGTGTTGTAGCATATTATAACCAATTCATCACTCTTTGGAATCAACTTTATGGGTGTGAAGATCCAACCGGAGGTTGTATGTGTCCAGCCGCAGTGATTTGCCACGCTCGGGTCGAGCGTGAAAAGACTATGGACTTTTTGTTAGGGCTGGACGATGAACAATACGGGCATGCACGTTCCCAGATTCTTGGCACCGAACCAATCCCGGATTTGGATCAAGCTTTTTACCTTGTTACTCAAGAAGAACGTCACCGTACTATTATCCGTTCTCGTGACGACCGTACAGATGACGTTGCCTTCGCGGTTTGGCGCTCTCCTAGTAACCTTTCGTGCTCTCATTGTGGGCGCACCAATCACACCATTGATACTTGTTTTGAGCTCATTGGTTTCCCGGAACATTATGGACGCGGTGGAGGACGTAGTGGAATGCAACGTGGTCGAGGGGGTCGAACATCGGGAGGTCGTGGCTATCCGTCCAGCGGCCGAGATGGCAGCAGAGGGCCTGCCCGTCCTGGCAGCACCTCCTACAGCAGATTGGATGGCAGTGTTTCCCACGGCAGTAACCCCACGGCAGTGCCTCTACTGTCCCAACTGGTGGCGCCCATGTCGTCAACACTAATTCCACAAATACTTTGAGTGATCAAATGGCTAAACTTATGTCGTTGCTTGAGTCCTCCGCTTCTCAGCAGTACACCTGTATGTCTTCTGTTAAAAATCAATAGTTGATTGATAGTGGAGCATCCCACCATATGACCGGTGATAAAACCCATATTTTTGATGTTACTGAGATTTCCCTTTGCGGAATAACTCTCCCTAATTGCTCTCGGGTATATGCTCGTCAACAAGGGCAGGTTCGGCTTTCCCTCACCCTTGTGTTGTCTGGTGTTTTGTTGGTGCCCAATTTAAATTGCCATTTGATTTCCGTTGGTTGTCTTATACGTGATACTACTTGTCATGTGATCTTTAATGAACTTTTTTGTGTAATACAAGACCGTTTGTCGAAAATGGAGATTGGACGGGGTGAATTGCGTAACGGAGTTTACGTCTTTTGCGGTTCTTTGGCTCAAGTTCATGCGTCTGCCGTTGATCCCCTCTTACTTCATTAGCGTTTGGGTCACCCCTCCTCTAAAGTGTCTACTCTTGTTAGTCCAAATAATTCCACTTCTCACATTAAGAAGTTGGAAACCTATGATATTTGTTTTATGTCCAAACAAACTCGTTCTTCGTTTCCTAATAGTACTAATAATGCTGCTACTATTTTTGATTTAATTCACTGTGATATTTGGGGGCCATATTCTGCGTGTTTGGTTACTGGAGCACATTATTTTTTAACCATAGTTGTTGATCATTCACGTGCTGTTTGGGTTTATCTCATTAAAGCCAAAAGTGAGGTTACCTCTTGTCTTAAACGATTCTTTGCTATGATCCACACCAAATACAGGAAAACAATAAAAATTGTCCGTTCTGATAATGGTACTGAATTTGTCAACAAACCTCTTCGTGACTATTATGATCAAATGGGAGTTCAAATCCAAACTTCTTGTGTCGGTACACCGCAACAGAATGGCCGTGTCGAGCGTAAACATCGGCATATCTTAAATGTGGCCCGTGCTCTCATGTTTTAGGCTTCTCTTCCCTTGGAATTTTGGGGCGAGTGTGTTAAAACTGCGGTGTATCTCATAAACCGTCTCCCTACCCCTCTTTTAAATGGCAAGTCTCCTCTTGAAATTCTTACCTCCAAGCCGAGCACTCTTACTCACCTTCGCGTCTTTGGGTGTCTTTGTTATGTTCGTCAAAAACTTCCCAATAAGTTTGCCCCCCGTAGCATCCGGTGTATGTTTGTCAGTTACCCGTTTGGTACTAAGGGTTGGCGGGTGTACAACTTGGAAACCCATCAATTTTTCCATACCCACGATGTCGTCTTTGATGAGTTCGTTTTTCCTTTTTTGTTACCGCAGGAATCTACGTCCTCTTCTTCCCACATGTCTCCGCCGTCAACGGCTGATTTCCCTATCCTTCCCAACTCCGATCCCGCACAGTTACCGTCCTCACAGCCCTCTGCGTCCCAGCCTGCTGCCTCCCCAGGTGCTTCTCAACCCGGTAGTGGCGACCAGCAACCTGCTGTTCCAGTCCCGTCCACAGAGGCGGCTAGAGCAGCGCCCACTGCCACAGCCCCTCATCTCCGTCAGTCTTCCCGTGTTCGTCAACCTCCCCAGCATCTCTCCGATTATGTTTGTCATACTGCTCTTGCGTCTTCTCCCGTTCTCTTTCCCCCCGTTGCATCTTCCGTCTCCGGTACGTGGTTCCCTATTACTAATTTTGTTCATTATGATAGATTGCATGACAGGTACAATGCTTTTCTTGGAGCTGTGACGAAGAATACCGAACCTAAAACTTTTCGGGAAGTTGTTCAGTACCCCTCTTGGCGTGAGGCTATGGCCAAGGAGTTGTTGGCTTTAGAGCGTAATCATACGTGGGACATTACTGATCTTCCTCCGTTTCGCCGAGCTTTGGGGTGTCAGTGGGTGTATCGCACCAAGTTTCGATCCGATGGAACTAAGGAACGAGATAAAGCCCGGTTGGTTGTCTTGGGTAATCATCAGGAGTTTGGCACCGATTATACGGATACTTTTGCTCCTGTTGCAAAATTAACTACGGTGCGTATTCTTTTATCTGTTGCTGTTGCCAAGTCTTGGGAGGTTCATCAATTGGATGTTAATAATGCATTTCTGCATGGTGATTTGGAGGATGAGGTATATATGAAGCTTCCTCCTGGATATGCCGGAGCCTATCCGAACAAGGTGTGTCGACTTCGCAAGTCCTTGTACGGTCTACGCCAGTCCCCACGGAACTGGTTTGCGAAGCTTCGTGGTGCTCTACGTAGGTATGGTTTTCAACAAGCCCATGCGGACCATACTCTATTTGTGTGGTCTCGTGGCCCGGATATTTTGGTTGTTCTTGTTTACGTTGATGATATATTGGTAGCTGGTAATAATCCTTCTGTGTGATCTTCTTTCAAGAAGTATCTTAATGATTGTTTCTGCCTAAAGGATCTTGGTCCAGTGTCTTATTTTCTTGGGATAGAGTGTGCTCGATCTCCTGCTGGCATGGTGTTGAATCAGCGTAAATATGCATTGGACATTATTCTGGAAGCTGGTTTATCAGGATGCAAACCGGTCGATACTCCGATCCAGCCCGGCCACTCTCTCGCCACTTCCAACAGTCCGGAGATTCGTGATCCGGCCAAGTATCGACGACTTGTTGGCCGCTTATTATATTTGACCATTACTCGTCCTGACATTTGTTTCTCTGTCCATGTGTTGTCTCAGTTTATGCATGCTCCACGACTTGATCATTTCCAGGCTGCTTTGCGTGTTGTTCGGTATCTCAAGGGTCATCCTGGTCAGGGCATTTTCTTGCGGGCTGATAGTGACTTAACTGTGACTGCTTATTTAGACTTCGATTGGGCCAGTTGTCCTCTTACTCGTCGGTCTGTCACGGGTTATTTTATCATGTTGGGTGGCTCTCCTGTCTCTTGGCGGTCTAAGAAGCAAACTACTGTATCTCGTTCGTCTGCAGAAGCCGAATACCGCTCCATGGCTAGTGCTTGTACGGAAATTCGGTGGATTCGTGGTCTACTTGCAGCCTTACAGGTCCCATGTTATTCTACTCCGCGCTTATATTGTGATAATAAGTCTGCTCTTTTCATTGCTGCAAATCCAGTTTTTCATGAGCGTTCAAATCACATCGACATCGATTGTCATATCGTCCGTGAATGTGTCCAACGGCGTCATGTCTCTACGGCTTATGCTCCTACCCGACTTCAAACAGAGGATATTTTTACTAAGGCGCTCTCCGGTCCACTATTTTAGTTTCTACTCTCCAAGTTGGGCATTCTCGATATTCATGCTCCAACTTGAGGGGGAGTATTGGAGTAATTGTATTATTTAATGTATTATTATTTGTATTATTATTTAGCATTTCTATAAGCCCACATTTGTTATTGGGCCCGGACCTATTGTACATGTATTTATACACACTTGGAGATGTAATTACGGGAAGAAAGTCATTCTTTCAAAATCCTTCACAAAGTGCTTAGATGAACAGTTCCAAAAGTCAAAAGTGGACAAACAAAGCGGGACGAAGGGAGTATCTTTTACCCAAGTTGTTAGTTGCTCCAGATTCAAAACCCTACATTGGAGTACGGGTAAAGTCTGCTTGTACGGGCTCTACTTTCGCGATATTATATTGGGTTGTTGTCTCTTGCACAAATAGACTTTGATCCTTTTTTTGTGAGTTCATATATCTTAGCCAAGATACCGTGTAGAATTGTGGAAGTTCCGATCTCAAAACAATTGACAATAGGAGTAACTCGTGATTTTTATATATTAGTCTTTTTGTTTGCTTGAGTGTTTAATAGGAGAAAACATATACTTCCCTCGTCCAAAAATTATTTTCTTGTTGGGCATTACGATATTTAACTGGAGTTATTTTCAAATCAATTTATATGAAAATGTGCAAAGTTCAAAAATGAAAGTTATTTATTTAAAAACCACATCAAAAATCTACAAAACTAGAGAAGACATGACTATATTATTTTACCAAATAGATAACGAAAATAAGCCAACAACGTGAATATAGTTGACCATATGAATAGTGAACACGAAGTTGATTTTCGACAAAAGGAGTAGTTGTTAAGTATCTGATAGTATAAATTATCACCTGGGGTAAAGTACGTATTTTAGGCCGAGTCTACGGTGATTTATTGAGTTTAGATATAAAAAGGCACATAAAGCAAAGGTTGATCGAGGAGATTGTAGGTGAAAACATTTGTAGTCTAATTATTATTAAGTGGGGAAATAATAAATGCATGTATTACACAACAGCTTTTAGAGAGAGGAAAACTCGATCCTGGTCCCTAAGGATTACAATGTCTATTTGTAGTGTAGCTAGGGGACAGGCAGGCGAGTGCCATGCCCGACCATGTGCCAGCCACGTGACTGGACGCTCGATCTGACGGGCTTTATCTCGTAGTGTTTGTCCTCTCTCACTGGCTACTCTTTTACTGCGACTGTCTTTCTTGGTGCGTAATGCTTGGGTGAGAATGTTTGGAAAAATCTGTTGGTATAGAAGAATCTAGCATGGCCCAGTTGATTCTAGGCCGCTACTGTCCAATTTGTTAGTACAAGTCCTAGTGACTCGATCGGGTGGTTTGAGGATCCAGCAATGCCACGCTCCCTGACTGATAGTGTCACGGGTGCCAACCCACCCGGTGGTTTTGTAACGCCCCAAAACATGGTCTAAAAGTTATTCTATTACTCCCTTCGTCCCAAATTATAATGCATGTTCACTATTCACAGGGTCAAACTTCATTCACTTTCTTTCTCAATTTTCGTTAGCAATTTGATAAAATAAAATACTATTATCACTACTTGTTTTGTAGATCTTTTGATGTAGTATTTTAATATGTAATTTTTATTTTTTAACTATGTACCATTTGTCATATAAAATGATTTGAAAATAATTTCAGTCAAACATCGTAAACCAAAACAGGCGTTATAAAATGGGACGGAGGAAGTATAAAAGTATTTTTAGAAACCATATTTTGACTCAACAAAGCATTATTTCTATGTTTGACCAAAAATGAAGGAATTTTTGGAGTCAATGATTTTTTGTTAAGATTGACTTTTATGGATAGGTCTCGAAGAAACGAATCCAACGGTATATTTTATGAATAAATCTGATGTACAGAGGTTTAGTTATGACATTTTAAATATGTAATTTGTATAAAAATGAGAAAAAGTCAAAGATGTGAACTTTTGTAAAATGATATATTGAAATAAATATTTATATTTAATAATATTGATTGAATATGAGACTAATTTTAATTACATATCAATTAATTCAATATGAGACTAATTTTAATTACATATCAATTTCGTTGTGTAGAGTTTGACTGTCTGATCGCAACGGTGCAAACGGATTTCAATTCGGAGAAAGTTGGACCAAAAAGTGTACCCCAACTGGAACTAAAATTAGTCCCAATCAGGACTTGCTTCTAAAATCAGTAGGGATCACCACTCCTCCCTCTACGCCCATCGCGGGTTTGCAGTGACGCACAAACATGGAGTTTTCTGCACCTTCTTCTCTATAAAAGGAGACCCAATTCCCTCAATTCTTCACCAATTTTCTCCATTCTTTCTTCTATTTCGTTCCTTGTTGAAAGAAGAGTGCAGTGGTGTTGTCAATTTGGTGTGAAGTTGCCGGAGCAAGCCGTGGTGTTCGCCGGAAGTTTCACCGTTTTTCCACCGGAATCATCGTTTCACTTCGAAGTAAGCCCGTAGATATATCTAGTGACTAGAATGTTCGTATAGATCGTTTCTACGCTCATAAATGGTCGTTTGGTTGAGTTTTGTGTTTGACATATGTGAAGAACCAAGAATCATAAACCTTGAATTTGATGTTAAAACTTCGAATTGATGCCTCTAAAATGATCTACGAACCTTGGAGAACATTTCTATATAGTTTAATTGAAGTTTGGTGACCAAANACTTCGAAGTAAGCCCGTAGATATATCTAGTGACTAGAATGTTCGTATAGATCGTTTCTACGCTCATAAATGGTCGTTTGGTTGAGTTTTGTGTTTGACATATGTGAAGAACCAAGAATCATAAACCTTGAATTTGATGTTAAAACTTCGAATTGATGCCTCTAAAATGATCTACGAACCTTGGAGAACATTTCTATATAGTTTAATTGAAGTTTGGTGACCAAATATGAAACTTGAGAAAAATGGGCTAGAGGTTGAAGATGATGAATAGTGAACCTTCGATTTCCTGCATTTTCCAACGGAACGGACGACAGTTCGGACCCAACGGTCGACCGTTACAAACATTTTTAAGCCCAAAAATGCTATTTTTGAAGCTATAAAATCCTATTATTTTATATACCAATCAATTATGATCAATATAAAAATAATTGTTAAAAATAAAAATGATGTTTTGACAAATAAAATTTTATGTGATAAAATAAAAATGATGCTTTGACAAATAAAATTTTATGTGATGTATGACGGTAAGCTAAGGTGTTAACACTCGATGCTAGGCCGCTATTTGTTATTGGATATTGTTAAAAATTATTATTAATGTTGTTTATGATGAGACTTTGATGAATATTCTTATTAAAATAATAATTATAAATGATTAAATCATGATTAAAAATGAATATATTGATGATTATGAAAATGATGTGTGTTGTTAAAGATATCTAGAAGAACTCTAAGATATACCCACTTGTAAAATTGATGATGATTATTAAGGATATCTAGAAAAACTCTAAGATATACCTCCTTGACCAATTCATAATTCGGGGTTAAAACGTACGTACGGGATCCAGACCGGATATCACCCACCCGACAGATCATTGTTCGGTTTGGTACGTAATCCACGTGACTCATAGGGTGGATTACCGATTCTTGTGTTCTGCATTAAACTATTTATAGTTTAAGGGCCTGGTTAGAAATATTGCCTTAGACTAGGAATAGCTATGAGCTTGTATAAAAATGATTTGGCCTTAGATTAAGAATAATTTAAGAGCACTGATGAAATATTTTGAATATTGAATATATCATGAAATGACTTAAAATAAAATATTATGAATATTATGAATAATGTAAGCTTGGAATATGTATTGTGTGCATGATATTAAATGGTTAATTATGAATTGAGATTCAATTTATATGGATGTTCGATGCATTAGATATGCTTACTCAGTTTCAACGCTGAGCGTGTAGTATGTTTTATTTGCTATACGCAGGTAAACAAAAAGAATGATGTGATGGAATCCTGGCGGCAGACGGAGCGAGATGGTCAAAGTGGATGTGTAAAATGAATTAAAGTTTAAAAAGACGTAATATTATTATGTTTTGTAATTGTTATTTATTCAGCTTCCGCAACATTAACTACTCTGTTATTATTCTGAATAATTTATTATGAAATAAAGTTTTAAAATGCTTGAAATCTTTTGAATGTTTACAAATACCAAGTTTATACTTTAGTCCAAAAGGGGCTGCAGACCTGGACGGATTGAGGTGTTACAGGTTTGCAACCAACCGGTCAAGTTTGGGCATGTACCAAAGTACGTACACTATTGCGCACTATTCACGAACCACCCAGTTAGTCGTGACTGAACGTGACTCTTGTCGATGGCTGGATGGAATACACCCATTAGTTTCATTTTAGGAATTTACTCTCTTTAAATAAATAACGTGACACATAATTTAAGAAGTGTTTTTAAAAATTATTCCCTATTTAAAACACTTCAATTTACTCCCTTCGTACAAATTAATATTTTGTTACATTTCTTGAAAAGAACTCTCATCTCTCTATCGCACACTCCAGCAGGTATCCCTCTTCCATCTCCATCTCCTTCTTCTTCTTCTTCTTTTTGAAAATAGAAATTCCATTCCCCATAGGGTATAGGGTATATAGGAGGTAGGGTTATTACGTTTCTTGAAAGAGTTATTACATTTCTTGAAAAGAACTCTCCTCTCTCTGTTGCACAGTCAAGCAGGTGCCCCTCTTCCATCTCCATCTCCTTCTTCTTCTTCTTCTTCTTCTTGAAAAGAGAAATTCCATTCCCCATAGGGTATAGGGTATATAAGAGGTAGGGTTATTACGTTTCTTGAAAGGGTTATTACGTCTCTTATATATTTATTATTTGGAGGGGGGGATTAATTATTTGAAAAATAAATCTAATTTTGTTTGAATACCAACAACTCACAACAGACCCGCGTTTCTCGGCCACAATGATGATTGCAAGGAGGCTTCTCTTTG